GATCGGCAGTTGACTTCTGACTTCAAACTACTATGGCCCGACTATTTGTCATATTCGACCCCTTCCACAGTACCCACCTTACCTTTTTTATGCCTTTGTGCCTGTCGGTCTGTTTGTCTATCTCTTTCATATCTGTGAATCACTCTTCTGTGCCCCCTCTCGACTTTTTGTCACTTTGATGTTTTTGCTCCTCTCTGTGAAGCCCCGAAGTCAGCTCCAGGGCTAATAATAACTATCAAAATTCCTGCCATTGGATATAAATAAATAAATCTCCCTTCCTCATCCTTAAAATAAGTTCAATTCGAACGTTTGTTCCTGAGAAACATGTCTCTCGAAATAGATTGATCTAGTAAAAGTTGTAGTTGTCGTAAGTCATCTAATTGATAGTGAAAAGCAATGTAGTTTAGTGATCAATTCTTCTGAATGTTGGTGACTGAATTTAGTAAATGAAAATAATTGGAGAGCTAATTTCCACCTCAAGTCCATAGACGAGCTCCAATCTTCCTCCCTCACTCTCTAAACTAAGTTCAATTTGAAAGTTTGTTCCTGAGTAATATGTCTATCTCGAAATAGTTTGAGCTAGTGAAAGTTTGAGTTGTCTAAAGTTATCTAATTGATAGTAAAAAGTAATATAGTTTAGAAATAAAATCTACGGAATTTTGGTGACTGAATTTAGTAAAGGAAAACAATTAATGAGTTAATTTCCTGTCCAAAACCGGCGGAGGATTCATTTCAAAGAGTATATCACAAATGTACTTATTTAACTAAAATGCAAAGTTACGAACCATTTGATTGAATTTCTCCAATCTGAATGGTGATTGAGGAGTCATTTGCGCTTCCATTTCTGGAGCCCTTGAAATCTGTGTGGAGCAAGGTGGTGTGTTTTCTGTTACTGTACGTTTAAAATCAGCGAATTCTGCTTCAATTCGTCGCAGTCTCCCTATTTCCAAATCTTTAGTGCTCATTAGTTCTGTCAATTTGTCCTGATCAGCATTCAATTTATGTATTTGCTCATTCAGGCTTCCGATTTGTTCTTCCATGGTCGATATTTGACTTTTCTATCATGATAAAATTGCAACCATACTTATGTCATTTACCATTGTCACTTTATTCAAGGTGCAAATTCATTACCTTTTCGCTTATCTCCTTTTCCAGTTTGGAGCTTTTATGCTTGCTTGCTGTCAACTGTTTGGCAATCTCTCTCTGTGGTACAAGTTGATCATTACTCAAATTAATATACCTCACCTTTTCTTGGGTACTTTCTTTCAATTGGTTTTTCAGTTTCTCCACATAGGCCAAATTGTCCGTCATTTTCTTCTCCTTATATATTGTAAAGAATGGAATGTACTCGAGCACTTTACTTGCACCAAGACAAATGCCCAAGTGACACTTACATTTCGCATTGAACTCTTGTCGGATTCCTTTTGCAAGGAGTTGAGACTCTCTTGCAGGGCTTCGATTTGTTTTTCCTTCTGGCGCAGAGTGCGATCGGACTCCTGTTGCTGTTGTTCAACAGCACCCAGCAATTCAGCACGAATCTCCTCGCAGCGTTTTGTCGCTGCAGTGTGTGCGGCTTGGGAAGCACCAAGAGCCTCACGCAGCTCAGCCAACTCAGCATCACGTTGGGCCAGTGAGGCAGAACTGGTGCGCATTTCGTCTCCAGCTCGCGAGGCAGCATTCTCAAGAACTCGTACTTGTTGCCCCGACTCTTGCAATCGTTCCTCCAACTGTATTATTTGATCATTCTTCAACTGAAACATCACAGAGAGTCGCATAAAGCAAGAAGAAAAGAGAAAGAGGTAGGGAATATCGAGACCGCCAAACGAAATTAATGCATAATTAATCACTCCTCCCAGTGCCCAGAGAAAGAGCTGGATTCAAAATTAGCAATAGAAAGCATATTATTTCGCTTTTCTTCAACCATAAGCGCAGAGGTTGATTCTGGCACTAGTTCATACAACAAAATCGCGAAATCGCATTTCACCTTAATTTGTCTATGTAGAATGGTCATTTATCACATCCGAATATTGCAGAATTATATACTAAGCAAACATATGGTTTATTATTAGAGACCAGTTAAAAATTTTGAAAGAATATTACAATTCATTTAACATGACCATTTAATCACTTCATCAAAAAAATTTAAATTAATTAGCATTTAAACAATGAGTGCTTTCTGATTCTGGTTGCAAATGAACGGCCAATGAAAACAGGAACAATAGATGTTATTTAGTCCTAGACTTTGGGGATTATTTTGTGTCCATAGAGAGAGCCACTATCCACTGGTGAATTGGGAGTTGACTGAACCAGCAACCTTGACAACTCATCAGGGAAGAGTTGGCATGCTCTTCAATATGAGCCCAAAGTGTACCAAGTAGATGATTGGAAATATAATATACACAGCTAAAGTGCCATTCTGCTCGAAACGGAAATAGCCACTGTGACGTGATATTTTCTCCAACTAACAACTGTGTCCTATATTTTCCAAGGCCACATCCTTCTATCCATCATTTTAAAAACGTTTATGTCCATTGATTCCATCTTGTTTATCTTCATACTGTTTCCCACAAAAATTACAATTTAGAAGGCATATTCCACAATATAGTAATGCAAAACAAAACCTACTTCAATGTATCGTCCCATATCCTGATTTCTAGCAACCAGACGACTCTGTTCGAATTCTGCATTGCGTAACTTTGTTTTTAGCTCCTCATTTTCATCCTGTAGTTTGGTCGTTACACCCCTTCATACAACAATATCCAACATCAAAGTGAGCTTACTTTAAATCTGATATTTCTTTCTTCTGTGTTTCTGCACAATTTTTAAGAAGAGTCAGGTTTTTTTCTGTCTCCTGGTGTAGCTTCTGATTATTCGTTACATATCAGTTAGTCAAGCTGTCTACTTACCTCTGCTTGGACCAAAGATGAATTCAATATTTTATGGGCCTCTTCCAGGTCCCTATTGGATGCTTCGCGCTTATTTAACTCACTCCTTAAACTCCCAATCGCATCCTAGAAATGATTAAAATGATACACATAACAATAGGACTAAAAATTTGGGAAAAGGAACACTTCGAATTCATAAACGTACTAATTTTTCACTTTCAGATTGTCGTAACGCTTCAATTCGTTGTTCATTATCATGAGCCACCTTTTCATGCTCCTTAATAGTTTCCAGTAGGTCGTTTGCCTTAATTTCGGCGTGTTTCTAAATGTAAAAAAAACAATGGTTTTATCAAAATATGGTAGCCATTTTAGATACTCCATGTCAAGACCACTTACACATTTGCTCTCACTTTGGGATAATTGAACTTGAAGCCTTTCTAAGAAGAGTAATTAAATAATGCAGATGTCACCTTTCTCCTCTTCGAAATCCCTTAAAAATTCTTCCTTCTTCGAGACTCTAGAAATAAATCAAGTGTAACTGTAAATTTCAACCTTACAAGGCGTCAAACGCTGGTAATAGTGAGTTGAGCTTATCGGTGAGTTGGAGCAGTTCCTTTTGTCGCAGACGCCTTTCCGCTTCGTATTCCATGCCTTTCTAGAAACCAATAAGAAAAAACATTTTGATCAATGTTTCCGATTCACTTAAAATTACTTTCAAACTTTCAATATTACTCTATGACTGTCCTCATGAAG